AGCCTCATCTTTCTCCCGCGGAGCAGCTGGTAGTTTCGAACCGCTGACCTTAAGGTTCGCAGCCCGATTCGTAACCACTACGCTACCAGAAGAGTTTTTATTCTAATAACAAAACCCTTATTTAGCCTTTGTGGAATTTGTGACTATGGTTCATTTCAAAACAAAAATTAAAAAGTATAACTCTCAAGATTCAGACAGACTGTTAGGAAAGACAGTCAGCTATAAACACTTATGTCAAGCAACATGAAAGAAAAGATTAAGATTATATTATTGCATAAGAAAATTCTTCAATGTTAGATTCTTAGAATAATGTTGATGAATCAGAACAAAATAATGAAGCCTAGAATTCTTCCAAGATATTGACATCTACAACGTTACTATGTTATGGATTGTGATTGTGTTTAAAGCAGAAACAATGATTTGAAGGCACACACATAGAAAAGGATTGCATTTCCTATTGTAATGAGATATTTTCAATAGGATCCTATATAGATAAACTGTTGTTGTTAAGAGCCATCCCACCCATAGTGGCTGATGTGTTTGAATTGCCAACCTTGAGTTTCAAGTCAACTTTGTGGTCAAGTGCCACAACAGGACAGTTCAAGCCCACCAGCTGCTCCTAAGAAACCTTACACAGAGTTGCTATGGGTCAGAACCAACTGGATAGCAGCAGTTAACAACAACATATAGATAAACATGACAAACCTATGGAACTCAAGATCCAGACTCAATTCAAATCTCAAACCTTAGACCTTATAAACTGTGTAATCTTGAGAAAGTTACTTATCATTCTGTGCCTCAACTGTAAATAATATAATACAGGCAGTCCCTGGATTAAGAACAAGTTTCTTTCCTAAATCTGTCTTTAAGTTGAATTTATACATTTGTTGTTGTTAAATGCTGTTGAGTTGGTTCTGAATCATAGTGACCCTGAACAGGGTTTCCAAGGCTATAAATCTTCATGGAAGCAGAAAGTCTCATCTTTCTTGTGATGAGTGGCTGGTGGGCTAGAAATCAGAGCTTGTGGTTAGCAGTCCAGTACTTACCATATAGAACCACAGCACTCTCTTTAAACATAAAATGACAGTAATAATGCTTTGATAAGTGTCACAAAGATTGTTATTATGAACCATTGTATGTACCTCAAATTTTTAATGCAACAGGCTATATGGAGTAGGTTCATAACTTGGAGACTGCCTGTAAGGATCACTATCTTGTAGTTGCTGAGAAGAGTATAATATACATAAGGCACTCAGAACAGTATGCAAAACACAGTAATAACTTCAGGAAACACCAGTCAGTAGTATTGGTGCAACTAATACTAAACCAGCTATTTGCAAATTTGATGTACACCCATTCCTCACTTAACAATATTAGGTTCCAAAGACCAGGTTGTTATGCAAAAATCAGCATTATGCAGCAAAAGATAATGAACACATCAGATCACAAAATGGAGTATATGACTAGATCATCACATAACTGCAAAATTACATCATTACATAACTGCCAACCCACACCTCAGCATTTGTTAGTGCTAGATATCAATCATTAATGTGCAAAGTAGTCAGATAGTACATTTTTTACTATTATCATAAATTTTAAATGTTGAGTAACAAGGCAGTTGATAATTGTGGAGTAGGCGCTCCCATGCTCATTAAAAGCACCTGAAAAGCAACTATTTGGTGATCAAAAGCAAAAAGGGAAGCAAGGAAATCTCTCTACCTAAGTTTAAACAAGCAAACAAAAACAAGTCAATTATAAGTGTGTCAAGAAGTATAACCTCTAAATAGATATTGTTTTCTTTGAATGTATTATTTCATTTCCAAAGGGGTCAGCACCAATGGTTGATGGATCCAGTTGAAAAGTTGCTCCAGGCAGTGACTTCATATGTGAAAAATATGTCTTTCAATTTAGCAGCAAAATAGAGACATTCTAAAGAGGTTAGTATTTATAAACCAAAAATTTTTCCCTACTTTTTTTTTAAGCTCTTTAAAATGCCTTAATTTGCAAACACTGGACCTTTTAAGAGTTGAAATGATCTCTAAATTCAGGTGGGATATGTTCAAGGTAATATTTTGGCTTGTGTGGACTTATTTTAATTTTCTTCAGCTTCAGCCTGAACTTGCATATGAGTAACTGATGGTCTGTTCCACAGTTGGCCCCTAGTCTTGTTTTAACTGATACTATTGAGACTTTCCACCATCTCTTACCACAGATGTAGTCAATTTGATTCTTGTGCACTCCATCTTGTGAGGTCCATGTGTATATAGTCTTTTATGTTGTTTAAAAAAGGTATTTAAAATGAATGGGTCATTGATCTTGCAAAATTGTAACATGTTATCTCCAAGATAATTTCTATCACCAAGATAATATTTTTCAACTACTGATCCTTTCTCTTTGTTTTCAACCCTTTCATTCCAATGATCAGTAACTATCAAACTATGAGAGAATAAGTTTCTGTTTTTAAAGCCATCTACATGTGGGTAATTCTATTACAGAAGCACTAGAAAACTAAGATAGCACACTAAGGATGCTATCTTAGTTTTCTAGTGCTTCTGTAATAGAAATACCCACATGTGGAGGAGAGAGAAGGTTTGTTCAAATTGAAGCCAATTTAGAAGTAATTAAGCAGAGAAATAGGAATACAGACAGTGCTTTTGACAACATATCCTGAAAGAACTGAACTATGCCCTTCCTCAAATAGGTGGTTGTTGTTGTAAAGTGCCTCTGAGTCAATTTCAATTCATAGTGACCCTGTATAGGGTTTCTGAGTAGCTAGACCTTGTGGTTTGCAGTCCAGTGCTGATCTCACAGCGCCATACTAGATTTTCAGATAGCTGAAGATTCAGATTTCCTTTTTGGCTTACATTATCTCAAGTTGGTTTTCTGTCACTTGAAATAAGCTTGGCTAACACCTTCTGAAACCGAACTATATATTTCCTTTAAAAAGCCTATATCAGCAAGTACTTACCCGTTCCTGGCCAGCAGTGTCCCAGATGAGGAATTTATGAAGTTCATTTCCACAAGGCACAGTTTTAGTCATAAAAGATGCCCTGACAAAGTGAAAACAATCCCATAGTACAAGTTAATCCATACAATGATCACAAAGATTCACATTTCAAATAAGTTAACTTTATATCCCAGCAGGAATTCCAAACCTCTTACTCTCAAAGAACTTCTAAGAGTAACAAGGGCTGATAGAGAGTCATGTCACACAAAGAAAACACCCTGGATTTTCTGTTAGTCCAACTGAAGCATTAGGGGAAAAAAAGCAAAGGACACATTCAGAAAACCTGTACCCAATACACTGAGCTTTAATTGTTCTAAGATAATACTCCCCAGAATGCAGGAAAGAATATAATCTTAGATGTTAAAAAGCTATACAATACTTAAGAGTGAAAAGGGCAGCTGGTATGTAGGAATGTTCTGATTTTAGCTTTAGAATGACACAAACTATGATGATATGAAACCAACAAGTAAAGTAACCAGGAGAATATTATAATTCCTGACTTAATTTTATAAATTCAGGGATAAAGACTGGCAATTGAAAAAAAAAAAACTTTTTTTTTTTTTTTACCATTAAAAAGGAAGGTTGTGAGAACAAACAGGATGGCGGATCGGGTGGAAGTGCAGTGAGGAGCTCTGCCAGCAATAACACAGAATACAGTACCAAGCAGGCTCAGGGGATGGTGCCAGAACTCTGAACCACATATAAAGGAAAATTTAGAAGACTGGAAGGCTTACAGCTGGGGGAGATGGTGGCAGAAGCAAGAAATCCATTGCTTTCTGGTTTGGGATGCTCATCTGCACCAGGACCCACTATCTTATGTGGGGCCAAGCAGGGGAAGGATCGGAGAGGCCAGGAATGCCTGACAGAGCCATGGAAATAAAGGTGTGGACCTTCTTTTCTTTTGGTATCTGTTCATTGGTCCCTTGCTGTCTGTGTACCTCCATTCTGGGTGCCTGAGCTAGTGAATATCCCAGCCCCACCCTCGGAGGGTTCTACTATGTATGCACACAGATATCATCAAAATTTAAAAAGACAGTTTCCACTTAAAACCAAATGGCTACAGCCAGCCCTGAACTGTTTATAACTAGAAAAAAGGCCTGAATGGGGATTGTGGACTGGGACAAACAGACAAAAAAGGAAATAGGCAGAAAATGAAATCTTAAGTTATGTCACAACGACCAACAGTGGCATCTTGAAATTTCTTAAGAAGAAGAGTAAAAAAGGAAGCCCATTTCCTGATCGCATCTACCAGGAGGCAATCAGGAAGCATACAAAATACTAAAATACATACCCATCTAAGTATTAAGGCCACAGATAACCCCTGAATATGACCAAAATACAGAAGTAGATGACCATATCTGCACATGTCCAGAAACGAGATAAAGTGACTGAGGCAAATGAAATGGAAGCAGTACTGGAAGATGGGCAGGCTTTGGAAATGCCTGAGAAGGAATTCAGAAAAATGATTATAAAATGTATCAAAACACTACATAATGGAGTTGAGAAAAATAAGGAAGAAGTCAGGAAAATGCTACAGGAACAATCAAATAAGATAGATACAGCATTGGATACAATTCAAAACCTACAGAAAGAGGTTCAAACGATTAATAATAGAATATCAGAAATAGACAATACTGTCTTAAATGGAGGGTAGAACTAATGGAATATAAGATAACCACAATGGGGTTGAGGTGGGGGGTTTAGTTTGTGTGTTGAGAAGGACAATACAAGAAGGGGGGAGGAGGCGGAAGAACTAGATAGGGGAACACTGAGACAGGTTTGCATGGCTCAGTGGGACAGAGGTAAATAGTGATGTATACTCAACCTTGGAACAACAGAGCTCTGGGATACAGGGATCTAGGTATAGCTTGAAGAGGATGAATAATACTAAAATCCTTGACTGCCTTATGAATATTAGTTTCCCTTGCCTACTATTGTAAAATAGACACTTGAGTGGGATAGAAAGAAATGTTGGGAAACATGATCAGAGAAAACTTGTAAGCCTATAACTGTCTGTAATACCTCAAAGGGGTTCTACAACTTGCCCAGTGAAATAGGCCTCATGCAAAGCTGTTACAGAGTATAGAACCTTAGGTGGAATCCTGTGTCCCATCCAGAACCTTATAAGGTGGGACATTCCCACTAGAAAGGACAAGCAGACTGGAACAGCTACAGTGACAGAAGATACATCTTCATGATGAACCTGACCTATACTCAGAGCGGTAGTTACTTTAAATACCAACAGAGAGGGAAAGAGTCTTCACATCAAGTATCAATGCTATCCCCTCTGTACACAGGGTAGATAGGGACGGGAAACTTAGACAATGGATACCTAAAATGAGGGGGCAATAAAGGAACAAAGTGACTGGCTTACAAGGTTTCAAGAGGGAGTTTAGTTTAAGAGTATGGGGGAAACAAAAGAGTTCCCACTGAATAGCTGTCATCTTGTCTAGATGGGTTTGGTGAAAAGAGATGGGTATAAGATTTGTAAGATTCAATAGTGAATACTTGTTATCATGACTAATCACGACTGTCAAGATTATAAAGGTATAAGTTTTCTAATTAAAAAAAGGGTAGTGGTTAATCTTACAGTCCAGAAACAGAGGACCCTAGGACCATCAAGAGAGGAACGCACAAGAAGAATGCAGGACTGTATCCGGAGAAGTAGCAGCACCAGAGATGGAGGCAGAGATGGGGGCATGGAGAACGGGAGATGGCTGAGGACTCTAGATTCATGGAGAGGGACTAAGAGCTGGTGACCAGGAGCAGACTTGCAGAATGTACCCTTTGGAGATGTAAATTATTATATATGCCTGAGTGGGTTTTTTTTTTTTTTTTTAAAAGGTAAGGTGGATGGAGAGAAATACTGTTAACTGATGGTACATGAAGGGGAGTATAATCATTGTAATGAAATGAGGTATATGATTTGTTAAATGTAAAACTGATGATATGCCCTGTAAACTTTCACTCAATCCACACAAAAAAAAAACTTAAAAAAAAAAAAAGGAAGGTTGTAAAATTCTCAGGAGATAATGAAACACATAACATCTTTTTTAAAAAAGTTTTTATTATGAATTAAGTGATAGTTTATATGGGAGAACATTAGCTTTATAGTCATCCTATCATATGTAGTTTCATTGCAATGATTACAATCCCCTTCATGCATCATCATACAACCAAAGGTTACACCCCACAAGCCTGTGCACCAGCCATCAACACACAGATGCTCCCCCTCCCTGAGTCCAGACTCCCCAGTCCCTCCATCTCTCAACCTCTCTGCCTCCATTTCCAGCATCACTGCTTCTCTGGATAGGGTCTCGCACTCTTCTCCCTTGATGGTCCCAGGGACTTCTGCCACTGGACTTCAAAATCAACCATTCCCCTCCTTTTGTTACAAACCATCTTCCTTTAAAATTCCAACACTCACAGTCAGTCCTGATAGCAATTATTCACTATTGAACCACAAGAGTCTTATGCCCATCTCTCTTCATCAGCCCTGTCCAGACAGGTTAAAAACCACTTAGTGGTTTCTACCTTCACCCACACCCTCTGGAACTAGGCTCCCTCTAGAAAGCTTGTGAGCCAGTCACTTCTTGCCTTTGGAGCTCCCTCATTTTGGGTAGCCAAAGTCTAAGTTGCTCATATTTGTCAACCCTGTGTATCGAGAGGGTGGGAATAATCCTCGCTGTGAAGATTTGTTCCCTCCTTTAGCTACTAAATCTATAAGCATAGGTCAAGTTCATCAAATTGTAGTGGATTACTCTTTTTTCCTCTTTTTTGTTCTTCTAGTCGAGTTCTGACCATCCAGCCATTGAAGCCAGGTCAAGTGAGTACTATCTGCAAGTATGGGTGTTCTTGTGCATCTCCCGTCACTTCATATCATCTGGATGCTTCACTCTCTGCTCTATCCCTCTGTGGCCATATCCCTGTCTTTGGGCCCAGGAGACCCCAGATCTTGCCAAACTGCTGGTCAACTATGTCTCAACCTGGGTTCACAGGAGCCTATTGAATGTGGTCAGACTTAGCTTACAACTTCATTGCTGTTTTTCCCCCACTTTCCGTTATCAGTGATGAATGTGGTCACCAGCAAGACCACATGCCTGCTCGCATATTATCCTTGATTCTCAGTCTTGATCGGGGGTTTGCCCTGAGGGGACCTGACCCGTTACCTTGATGGCTCCTTGCTTGTTCTTGTACTAGTCAATCAGATTGCAGTTACTGTTTTTTAGTTTTCCTACTGGTCCTTCTTTCCAGAAATATCTTCTATTCTTCTAGCTGCTCCAGGATGGTCTGCTTATCCTTTCAAGTGTAAATTGAAAATCCCAGAAGATTCTAGATGGGGATCACAATTCCACCTATGGTCTTATACAATGTAAAGGCTCCGCAGAAAGCATCCTTCACTGGGCACATTGTAGCCCCATTTTAGGTATTCCAATTAGTTATAGGCTGAAGATGGATTTACAAGCTTTCTATGGGGATTTTCAGGCTATTCCTCTCTCTCCCCCCTCAAGTGTCTATTTTACAATAGTAGGCAAGAGAAACCAAGATTCAAAAAGACAGCCAAGCAGTCCGTCATACCACAGAATACAAGGTAAGGCAGATCCAGGACACAGCTACAAAACTCGGAATCACAGAAATAGGAATATTTTAAAAGTTTGAAGGCTTATAGTTAGTAGAATTTGAAGCTGAAGTAAGAAATAGCGTAGTTTTGAATCTGCTGGGCTCAGAGGCCCGGAGCAAACATTTTAAGCAAGACCAAACGGCAAGACCAAGCAGAAGAGTAGACACACCATGGAAAAACACCGCGGGAATCATGGAGCAAAGGTGGACAATACATTTTGTCAGTTTTGCTTTGTTCTGATTTTCTTTCTTTTTTTTTTGGTATCTGGTCATTGGTGCACCCACTGTTTGTGCACCTCCATTCTGGTGACTAGAGGGGAAGCCTGAGCAAAAGGACACCCCCAAGCTCACCATTGGTGGGTTCTTCTACCATGCATGTGCACAGATACTCAGCCCAAGAGCAGCCCTTAATGTGTTTTTTGT